GTTTTGATTTGCATTTCTCTAATCAATAGTGATTTAGAGCATTTTTTAATATGGCTATAGATACCTTTGATTACTTAGTTTGAAAACTGCCTGTTCGTATCCTTTTACCATTTATTGGTTGGAGAATGGCCCTTATTTTTATAAATTTGGCTCTATTCTCCATATATTTGAGAAATTAGACCTTTATTAGAGATACTTGCTGCAAAATTTTTTTCACAATTATGATTGTTATTTCCCTCCATCCCGTTTTCCCCCCCTGCTTATTCTACTCTCTTTTTCCTTTCACCCCGTTGGTCCTCAAAAGTGTTTTGCTTCTGACTGCTGCCTTCCCCAATCCTCCCTCCCTTCTATCAGCCCCCCCCTTTATCTCCCTCCCCTCCAGCTTTCCTGCAGGGCAAGATAGATTTCTATACCCAATTGAGTATGTATGTTATTCCTTCTTTGAGCCAATTCTAGTAAGAGTAAGGTTCATGAGTTTCCCCCCCTTCCCCCATTTCCCTCCCTACTGTAAAAGTTCTTTTGTGCCTCTTTTATGTCAGATAATTTACTCCATTCTACCTTTCCCATTCCCCTTCTCCCAGCGTATTCCTCTTTCTTTTAGATATTGTCCCATCATATTCAACTCACACCCATACCATCTGTCTATGTACATTCCTTCTAACTGCCTTAATAATGAGAAAGTTCTTAGGAGTTATAAGTATCATCTTCCCATGCAGGAATGTAAACAGTTTAGCCTTATTGAGTCCTTTATGATTTCTCTTTCCTTTTTACCTTTTTTACATTTCTCTTGGGTCTTGCATTTGAAAGTCAAATTTTCTATTCAGCTCTGTTTTTTTCATCAGGAATGCTTAAGAGTCCTCTATTTCATTAAGTATCCATTTTTTTCCCTGAAGGATTATACTCAGTTTTGCTGGGTAGGTGATTCTGGGTTGTAATCCTAGCTCTTTTGCCCTCTAGAATATCATATTCCAAGCCTCTGATCCTTTAACGTACAAGTTGCTAAATCTTGTGTTATCCTGACTGTGGCTTCATAATTTTTGGATTGTTCCTTTCTGGCTATTTGCAATATTTTCTCCTTGACCTGGGAACTCTGGAATTTGGCTATAATATTCCTGGGAGTTTTCATTTGGGGATCTCTTTCAGGAGGTGATTGGTAGATTCTTTCAATTTCTATTTTCCTCTCTTCTTCTAGGCTATCAGGGCAGTTTTCCCTCATGATTTCTTGAAAGATGGTGTCTAGGCTCTTTTTTTTATTGTAACTTTTAGGTAGTATAATTTTAAAATTATCTGTCCTCAATCTATTTTCCTGATCAGTTGTTTTTCCAGTGAGATATTTCACACTTTCTTCTCTTTTTTCATTCTTTCAATTTCGTCTTATTGCTTCTTGATATATCATGGGGTGATTAGCTTCCACTTGCCTAATTCTAATTTTTAAGGCATTATTTTCTTAAGTGAGCTTTTGTACCTCCTTTTCCATGTGGCCAATTCTCTCACATGAATTTTTGTACATGTTTTTCCATTTGGTCCATTCTACTTTTTAAGGGATTCCTCTCTTCATTAGATTTTTGTGCCTCTTTTACCATTCATCCTGGTTTTGAAGGTGTTATTTTCCATAGTATTTTCTGTGCCTCCTTTACCAAGCTGTTGACTCTTTTTTCATGATTTTCTTGCATCACTCTCATGTTTTCCCCCATTTTCCTCCACCTCTCTTATGTAATTTTTAAAATCCTTTTTGAGCTCTTTCATGTCCTGAGACCAATTCACATTTTTCTCTGAGGCTTTGAATGTAGCAGTTTTGATTTTGTTGTCTTCCTCTGAGTTTGTGTTTTGATCTTCCTTATCACCATGGTAACTTTCTATGGCCAGGATCTTTTTGTTTTTGTTGTTGCTCTTGCTCATTTTCCCAGCCTATTTCATGACTTTTAATTGTATATTAAAGCTGGGCTCTGCTCCTGGTGTCAAGGGGACACTGTCCCAAGCTTTCAGCTTTTTGGTCGGCTGCTTTTTGAGCTAGTCCTGGGGGTCTGTAAACTTTTAGATTCTGAGGAAGAATGATCTAAGAAGAGATGTGTTCATGACTCCCCTGGCTTGTGCTCTGGTCTTTGAATGACCACAAAAACCCTTTTCTGCCTGGAACTGTGGCCACAAGCTCTGATTTGCCAGTGCTCCTCTTTGCCCTGTGACTACGACTCAGATCAGAGTATGGACAATGCAACAGAGTCCTGCACTCGGTGCCAGCAAAAAGACCTGTGTGTTTTCCTTCTGACCAGTTGTGGTCCCCTAACTGTCTGTGAGCTGAGACCTTTGGCAGCAGCCACCGTCGCTGTTTATTCAGCTGTGCCAGGGCCTGTTCCTGGTTTGCTGGGGCCCCACCTACCCTGGTATGGTCTGTGCTTCACTCTCACTCTGATGGGATAGACCTTTCCTGACAACCTTTGAAGTCGTCTTGGGCTGGAAGATTATTTCACCCCATCCTTTTGTGGGTTCTGCTACTCCAGAATTTATTTCAAGGCATTATTTAAAGTTGTTTGGAGGGGAATTTGGGAGCACTCAGGCAGGTCCCTGCCTTTCCTCCACCAGCTTGGCCTCACCCTCTAGTGTATCCTTCTTTGTATTTATCTCACCCTGAGCACAGCCCACTGCCAATAGTAGATTCTTAATAAATGCAAATTCAACAAAAATTAAATGCCTAGGAAGGCTTATAAACTTGACTGGAATGTTTACCTCTGAAGCTAATTGAGGTTGAGCAGATAAGCACCTTAATGAAGTTTTCAGTTCAAGATTCCTTTTAGAGACAAAAGACCAGAGTCCAAATTCTGATTCTGCCACTTATTTATGTGACTTTAGGCAAGTCACTTAAATAAACCCTCTGGGTCCCATGATCCTCTGCTATAAAATGAGGGAATTGTGTGGGTAGTCAGTAAGGATTCAACTAGCTCTAAATCTAAATCTGTGACCTTATCTTATGCCCCCTCCTCCCAAGTCCAGGGACTATTTTGACTTCATTTTAGTAATCTAGTGCTTAACCCAGTACCTGTCCTAAAGTGAGTACTCAGTAAATGATAGTTAATTGACTGATTCTAGGTCTCCTTTTATATCACGAACTAAGCTCACTCTCCTCTTGCCATTTCTAGTAAAAATTACACATAACACTTTGTGCTTTACAAATTGTTTTAGTTTTAGCTTTTTAGCCCTCCTGGGAAGTTTTGCTCCGTTATTTCAATCCTGTCTGACTCTTCATGACCCCATTTGGGGTTTTCTTGGCAGAGATACTAGAGTGATTTGCCATTTCCTTCTCTAGCTCATTTTACAGACTAGGAAACTAAGGCAAACAGGGGTAAGTGACTTGCACAGGGTCACACAGCTAGTAAGTATCTGAGTCTGGACTGAACTCAGCAAGATGAGCCTCCAGGCTTGGTGCTCTATTTCGACACCGGATTTTTGGCCCCACTTTGGAGATGAAGTTGAAATTAGGATGATAATAGCAATAACCATAGTAGTAAATTTTTATATTTTCATAATGCTTTAACCTTTACAAAACACTTTTAATACAACATCACTGAAAGATATGGAATGTAAAGGTTATGGTGCCCATTTTACAGAGGAAACTGAGGTTCAGAGAGATTTGCCCAAATTAATAAAGCTAAAAAGCCATAGAAGGTCCTAGAAGTATGGTACCATAAAAGCTAGAGGAAATCTTGGATAGGATCAAGTCTGACCTATCAGACCCTCACACTATTTCAAAGATGAAGAAACTGAGGCACAGATAATTTCAGTGACTTGGCCAAGGTCATAGTAACTACTGGATAAGGAACTTGATCTCAGGTTTTCTGTCTCCCAAACCATTGTTCTTTCTAATTAATGGTTTACAAGTATTATCTCATTTTATCCTCACAATAACCCTATGAGGCTATTATTATTTCCATTTTACAGATGAGGAAACTGGAGCTCAGGGAGCTTAAGTGATTTGCCCAGAGTAAGCTAGTACCAGTCTGATGTTGGATTCGAACTCAGGGTCTTCTTGACTCCCCTTCAGCCCTCATCCATTTCACCCCCTAGGGGCAGCAGGCACAAATGAAGCACCAGGGAGTGTTTTTTCCCCTTCCTTGTATCCCTAGCTCTTGGTGCGTAGTACCCAATAGCTTTTTAACAGTTATGGATAAATTGCTTGTTTTTAAAAAAATATTTTTCAAACCAATTTAAAAAGCTGTTAATAAATATTTGTTGATTTTTTTTATTGATTGATTATATAGAAACTTCTAATGAAACAAACCTGAGTGTCAATCCTTCCTTTGATGCCTCCTGGCTGTGTGACTGTGATCAAGCCACTTAACTTCCCTGAATCTCAGTTTTCTCATTTGTAAAATGGTAATAAAAGACCCTAGCACCTATTCTATGGGATTGTTGTGAGGATTAAGTGAGATAACACATGTAAAGTATCTCGCAAATATTTAATTGCTCTCTAGATGTCAGGAGGAAGAGAGCAGACTGCATTGCCTTGGAGGAAACTGGAAAGTACTTTTAATAACCCCAAGCTTCTCCCTGAAACAAAGGCCCATACTGTTATACAGCTTCAAATTATGGAATGCTTTGGCCCCTAAATGACTGAATTTGAATATCCCCCAAAGGGCTGCACACCCTCAGTGGGTGTGACTTGGCTAGAGCACGTTATAGACCTGGGATTGTACAGGAGGTGTGTAAAGTATGTCATAAAAGAAAAGTAAACTAAAAAAAAAAACAAACATTAGAAATCATTCAGCTAGTCAGTCTCAAAACTCCGTTTTTCTGATTATGTATTCAGGACTCTTTCCCCTCCTGGGAGGCAGAGTGTTATATAGAGGAAAGCACATGGTCGTGGAATCTAAGAATCTCTTACCCTGGCTAGGTAGCAAAGCCAACACTTGAACCCAAGCCCAAGAAGGCTCTTTCCAATACAACCCACTGCCTTTCTGTCTAGAGAGCTTTTTAGTCTCCAAGCATCATGTTTGTTTCCGTTGCAGGACCAGATACCTTCTGTGGGCACTGAAAACCAGCTTATCCATGCCTATTTCCTGTGATGGACGAATCTGACATTAATGTGAGGTAAGATGAATTGCTAGATCTGCTATACCCCAAGCCCATGTTTCCCAACCCAGACCATACTGCAGTGTTGTAAAACGCCTAATGCTGGTTTCAACAGCTGAAGAGTGTGAGGGGTGGAGAGGGGGAGGACAAGAGGAGAATGGGAAGGAGTAGGAAGAAAGAAGAAAGAAAAATGAAGGATGAAGCTTCAGTTTGTAGATTTTAATGTGTTAGTTCTTTTGGTGGTAAAAGTTTTGCTGCAGACTACTTTTTACCTGCCTTAATAGATTGAGAGGGAAGTAAGAGCTGGGAAAACCATGTACGCAATGGTAATGACAATGTAAATGGAAAGAACCAAACAGGAAACTGAATGCTCTGTAATGATAATGGTTAAGATTGACTTAAGAAGAGTTCAGAAAGTACCTCTCTGTCATTTCTTTTCAGTAGTGGGGGGCTATGGGTGTGGAATATTAAAGATAGTACCAGACATCTATTTACATTTTGGTTGTCTTTGCCAGACTGTTTTTTTCCCTCTCTTTTGTTTTTTATTACGAAGAATGGATTGATAGATGTAGATGGGGTTAGAAGATATTCAGAAATGAATCCAATGTATAAAAAAAATATCAATTTTGTTTACTGAGTTACTGCTTTAAATCATAAGCATTGACACTGCAAAGCCCCCCCAAGTCAGTTGAAGTGGTTATAAATCTTTCTTTTGCTTTTTGATGCACCCATCCAGGAGCTGGTTGGCAGTCTCATGTTTCCTTAGATGTTTGTTGTTTCCAAAAAGGCAGTGCATCCTTTAAAATCTTGGGCATCAATGTTCTAAGATTTTTGTAGACTGTCTCCAAACTTCGGGTAGGAATTAAAACACCCTTCATAAAGAATTCCAGACATACTCACTCACTTCTTAAATAAAGAGGATTGTATTGTTTCATGGAAGAGGCGTTGTCAGTAAATGAGTTACACATCTGCCTGGATGGGCTTTGGCAAATAATCAAAGTTGCATTTTTGGAGCTATAGATGCACAAGTCATATGGCCCCATATTCTCCTAAGACTAAGGGAATTAAAGTTGTTCTGTTTTGTTTTCTTTATTTCCTCTGTTAGAGGAAGCTGGTAGCACAGTGGATAGAGAGCTGGACCTGTAGTCAGGAAGACCGGAATTCAAACCTAGTCTCAGACATTTACTAACTGTGTGACCCTGGACAAGTCACTTAACCTCTGTATGCCTCAGTTTCCTCAAATGTAAAATGAGAATAATGACAGCATCTACCTTGAAGAATTGTTGTGAGGATCATATGAGATAATCTTTGTAAAAAGTGCCTAGCACATAATAAGCCCTACATAAATGCTTGTTTCCTTATGCCCTCCTTTCCTTCAACATGAAATTGTGACAAGAAATGGGTTGGTGGTGGGGAGGGAAGATATGTTTTCTGTAGCTTGGTTTTGCACTTTCCTATTATAATAGCAATTTTTTCCATTGGTGCTGAATTACCTTGAATAGGTGGGGTATTCCAGGCAAGCAACTATTCACAGACTGCCTTAGCTGTGATTTATAGGTTCTAAACCTTTCCAGTGTGATCTCTTAAAGTCTCTTCTAAGTTGTAATGTTTCAAAACTTTGTCACCATCCTCTCTCTTGGTTTTCTAACTTGACTCCACCCACACATATTCACACCTATATAATACCATTCTTCAATCGCCAGAGTGATTTATTGTCATGCAATGACATTCTCTTAAAATCCTCTAGAGTGTATCAAAGTCTCCTCTTGGACACTGCTCATAACCTACAGGAAGACATTAAAAAAAAAAACAACCTCTCATAACTTTATTTAAAAAAAACTTTTTCATTCTAAACTTTAATATAAAAAAGATCATTTTTATACACACAACAGAATACAAGAAGCAGATTCTAATTAAACCATGGTTCTCCATTCCATACTGCTTGATTTTTTTTTTAAAGTACATAATAAATTCTACACTTTACTTTTGCAACTGTCCTCCTTTCATGTGCTTTCTTCTGCACTTTCATCTTTCTCTGGGCATTTAAAAAAATTTCCATGGTCTTCTTTTACTTGGCATTACTATTGCTAACCCCCTTCTGAACTTCCCTCTACCAAATTAAAAACCAAGAGAAAGAAAGTAACAGCCCTTTTACAAATAGCATAGTTAAGCAAAACAAATCCACACATGAGTCATGTCTTAAAATGTATGTTTCTGTGCTGTGTGTCCATCACCTCCTTGTCTGAAAGTAGATAATATGCTTTGTCATGTGACCTCTGGAAACTTGACTGACCATACTGCCTTAACCAGTCTTTTAAGTCTTCCAAAGTTGTTTTTCTTTATAATGGTGCTGTCCTTGTATGAAATGTTTTCCTAGATCTTCCCATTTTACTTTGCTTCAGCTTATACTGCCTGGGAGTCTCTACAATTGTCTGTTTCATCATTTCTTAAAGAATAATGATCCCTCTTACAGAATAAGAATTCTTATTCTTACCAAATAATAATATTCCATTACATTCATATAACACAATTGGTTCATTCATTTCTCAATTATCTAACAGACAACATAAAGCACCCCCTATATTAATCCTTTTTCCCCCCTCCTTTTAATTCCCCCGTCAGAATCAGGATGTTTGTTTTACTTCTGACTGTTCCTGGGCATTATTTTCCCTCTAATGTGGCCTCCCATCTCCACTTGTTCCCTACTGAGTTTGTTCTACTATTATACAAAACTGTGTTTTTGTTTTCAACCTTCCTTTGTCACTTTAATGTGAGCAATGTTCTTCTGCTCCCCCCCCCCATGCTTGTCTATCTTTTCAGACCCCAGGTTTGAGACATAGTAACTTCCACTCCCTTCTGGCATCATTTTACACTACATCTTCCTTTTCTCCACCTTCCTCTTTCCCTTCTCAAATTCTCAGAATAGGATTTAATCCACCCCAAGGATCTTTCCATTGCACCAGTGCCTTCAAAGGTATTATGCTATTATGTGTTAACATGTCATGTATTAATAATCATGACACATACACATACATAGTACACTAAGGTTTACAAAACACTTTGCTCACAACCACCCTGTGATGAAAGGAAGGGATGAATTGCAACCCTCATTTTACATGTGAGGAAACAGATGTGAAGACTGAATGACTTGTTAATGGTTACACTGCAAGTTTCACAGAGGATTCAAATTCAGATTCCGGGATTAGCAAATCCACTGTATAGTGCCACCTCTTATAGATGAGTGGCCAGGCCCAGGCAGGAACCAGAGTTTCTTGAGACTAATAGATTCAAAGCATCGAGACAGGAATGAGAAGCTGAGAGCTGGAGCAGATACTTCAAATTAGTGTTTCTTATGGCAGTTAGGAGGTACACTATGAGGGAGACCATGTCTGTCTGAATACAACTACCTGAAGCAATCTGCTTGCCTGAGGCTCTGCCCTTTTACGCTGATGGTGTTTGTTCTGTGATTCCATGTCGCACTGAAATGTTAGTGTGATCACAGAATAAATTGTACCCCTTCCTGACTCCATCACACTTCCAAGGCTGTAGAATAATATATAAATATAATCATATGTTTAAAAAAAGACATTCACTACACATAGAAATTTGTTTATAATTTGATTTGTTCAACAGGATGAGTATTAGTGCAGGAGGGAGACATTATCTAGTAGTCTGCACTGCCGATTTCTTTGGGACTGGAAGTTTGGGAATCTAGATGGTGGACAGGTACGTGTCTGGGAAAGCTAAAAACCACCAACTTTATGCACGATTTTGCTCAAGAGAAAGAAAAAAATTAATTGGAATTATCAGCACAGAGAAAATAATTAACACTCTAATGAAGATATTACCAAGGTCGTAGACTTTAAAGGGAAACTATTAGCTCAGTAATAAACACATACCTCTATGAACAATGACTCCTATGAAACAAAAGTAGAATCCTTAACCATAATCCTAAAAAGATGACACAATGATTTCTGGAAAGAAGACTGCAGGGTACCAATGCGTGTTATTGAATCAATAGTGTCTGCCTGGACATGAAATTCCCAACTCCTAGTAGAGACAGAGAAAAAGAGAGAGAGACAGGGACAGAGACAGAGACAGAGACGGAAGGCAAAAGATTTCTGGTTACTCCTCTACATTCCAAAACCACTGCCTTCAATTAGCTTCTGCCACCTCTATAGTGAGAGGTCTTCTAAGCTTCCCAATGACCTGTCCTTCAGAAAAGGAGAGAGCTAATTCAGAGCAGCTCCCAAAGCCTGCTACAGGTCTTTTTCATGTCTGAATAGAAAGGAATAGAGAGAGAATTTTTTAAAGCAAGGTTAAAGGTAGAGACTCTATCTGACCTGTATAAAGCCCTACAAATTCCCTCCAATAAAAACGAGGTCACACAGTACTTGCCATGTGCCTTCTTGTTAGGACTAAAGGATGTTTCTCTGCTCCTCCCACTGAGGATGAGGTGAAGTGACCTTATCTACATTCCAAGGTTTGATAGCAAAGGACTCAGTTAACAATCAAAAAAGTCTTGTCCTGTTAATAAAGACAAAGCTATCCCTTCCTGATTCAGTTCCTTTGACTTCTTGTTGACCAGAGTTTGGAATCAAAAGAGGCTTACAATATTATTTTATATTATATTATATTGCATTATATAATTTTATATCATTTTATTATATCATATTACAGGTTTTTTATAAAAGAAAGAGACCTATAATATTTTCTATTATTTCCATAACAGAGAATGTGACCTCAATACTGTGACCTGTTTGGGGACTATTACTATAGTAGACAGAGCTTTGAATGCCAGGCCCAAGAGACTGCATGTTTTTTGGTTGGCAATAAAGAGCCACCGAAGACTTGTGAGCAGAGGAACGTCTTGATCATTGCTGAGTCCCATTTCTATACATAAGGAAGATTCTTCTGACAGTAGTGGGAAGGATGGATTGTCAGGGGGAGAAAGTGGAGGTGGGAAGGCTTGTTAGGAGGCTTAATTGCAATAGTCCAGGTAGGCGGTAATGAGAGCC